TCAGTTTGATTTATTTAAGTTTTAAAATTTAGGCAGTATTATAATTTAACTTTATACATATAATTTAGTTTCACTGATTTATATTTATAGTAGCTAGCTGAAATGAAAACAAATGAATGAATGATTTATATTTATATAATTTTGTCTCACAGTTTTGTCACATTTTATGCATTTTAAAAACTCATTTTAAGGGGGAACATATTTATAATTTCATTTAATAAATAAGCTTATTTTGTCGGCCACAATAATTGAATTTTATTTATATAATTTTGTCTCTCTAATTGGAATAAAATCATCATGTTTTTCATATTACAAACCCTTTGTTACATTTTATGGATTTTAAAATCAAATTTAGTGGAAACTTTGAATAATTTAATGTAATAAATAATCTGTGATTTGTTTATTTATTATGTATTCATGTTATTTTCATGTAATTCAGTTAATCATTCTTTTTGGTTTAGTCCTTTTATTATTAATCTGGGGTTGCCAGAGCGGAATGAACCACCAACTTATCCAGCACATGTTTTATGCAGCGGATGCCCTTCCAGCTGCAACTTATCACTGTGTAACATCCATGCACACTCATTCACACACGTACACTACGGACAGTTTAGCCAACCCAATTCACCTATAGCACACGTTTTTTGGACTTGTGGGGGAAACCGGAGCACCCAGAGGAAACCCATGCAAACACGGGGAGAACATGAAAACTCCACAAAGAAATGTCGACTTACCCAGCCTGTGCTGCTGTGAGACGATTGTGCTACCTGCCTTAATTTTATCAATAAATCTAAAAGTGTAAGTAAATTTGAACTAAAAGGGTATTTTTAATTTAATTTAATTTAATTTAATTTAATTTAATTTAATTTAATTTAATTTAATTTAATTTAACTTAACTTAATTTAATTTAATTTAATTTAATTTATATGTTTAGAATAGATTTTTAAATGATTTTAAAAACAGATGTTAATACAGAATTTATACTATACATTTTATTAAGAAACAGTAAACTCATTTTAAGGGAAAATATTTTTTTATTTCATGTCATTTTTGCCTAAATTTATTTTATCTTCATTTAATTCAGTAATTTATAAGTAAATTCAGTTATCTGTTCATTAAACTGAAGTAAAACTGTCTTTTTTATTTCATGTAATACATGTTTAGGGCTGGTTTGATAAGATTTCAATATAGATTTGTATGGTTTTTTTTATTAAGATTTCCATATATATTTTAACATTTTAGTATATACTGTATATTTTAATAAGCAATTTTAAGCAATTATTTTATATCATGTGCATCCCTCCACTGGAAGTAGTGAACTTGCCTTAAGCAGGTCTTACACCAGAAGCGCCACTAGGCAACGCACAGCGCCATGCACACAGTTGGCTGTAAAACTATACAAAGAAATGATTTTGTAGTCTCTGCTTGGTCTGTGTCCGAGTCGTACATGTACGGCTGAATGCTGGTCCTCTCACTCATGTTGCTTCTCTCTATCTGCCTGTCTGTTGCCAATCACAAAGCAGGGGAGCTCTTGGCTCCGCCCCCTTGTTAAGTTAAGTAGGATGTTGAAACTAATTTTCATGTGAAGCAACACACCCCTAAAACAACGAGCTGTGTGTGTAAACACCCCATGACACTTAACACATTATAATAAACAAATCTGAATTGTGTTTTGAACTAAACCTAAACTAGCACACTCAGAAGAACCATAATATTAACTATTAAAAAAGGCGGTGCCCTTTAACGTATTAAGTCAGTTTATTGTCAGATTAAATGCCTAAGAGTCATTCGTGAAAAAGGTGACTTCATTTATTTTGATCGCTACAGATTTTGATGCCTACATCCAACAGTATTTAACTTATTAGCATAATTAGCATAATTAGCACATTTTTCCATTTCTTACAGACTTTTTTCAACCATGTGTTCAGAATTTGGCATAAATGTAATGCCGAAAATGCTTGAAAATTTGTTTTTCAGTATCAAGATCCATTTCAGCAGTGAGGATTCACTCCAACTCTTGCATACGAGCACAAAGCAATTTGCAGAGGAAATCCCCTCGATTTCAGAGCTCACAATGAGTCTCGGCAAGCTGTAATTTAGTCCCAGCGAACGCCGAATGTCTGTTTGTGTGTAATTATTCCCGTTTGTTGTGTGTGAATGGGAGCTTCCCTCGGGCAGTTCGCTAGCAGAGAGCAACTCGTAGCATGTAATCTAAAGTCATGTCAAAATGTCTCTTCATGAGTGCAGAGCTCATAATACAAACATGTTTTCTGTCACATGAATCTGAAGGCTCAAAAAACAAGGACAGAGCCTCCACTGACTGAAACCCCAGAGCATTATGGGGGAAACAAGAACAACACAATGAATGTACTGTGTTACAAACTGCAGATGTCAAAGTAAACAGCTACATGTTCTGAGGACCCTGTTTCATATTTTATATCAGTCATGATTTTTACATGTCTTCTTCATAAGACAGTACGCTGTCTTTTTAAAAACAAAACAAAACAAATAAAACAAGTGATCAAATAAGCTTTATTGAGGTATTAATTAAGTAGCAAATAAAGTAATAAATAAATATTGAAACTGTCAGTATTTCAATATATTGATTACTGAACATGTCAGTAATACAATTTTTCCTCATTAATATCCTTTTATAGCAATTGAGTAACATATTATATAAAAATACTTGGGATGCCTATGGTCCATATTAATATTATATTTTAATAATTAACCGTTTTTTGTTTCATGCAATTTTGTCCCAATCATCTGGGGGAGTAATATGATTTTTTTTTTAGATATAGAACATTTTAAAAATTATTAACTCTAAGTTTTTGGAAAATAATTCAATTTATGATTTATATAATCATATATAAATGATTAATGAACCATGGCTAATCCTAATATATGTAATTATATTTTATAACATTTTAAGAACAATAAAACTTTTAGTTTAATGCAATTTCTATGACAAATCATTTGGGGGAGCAAAATATTTATATTAATATATTCATATTTTACGCTTTTTAATTACATTAAATGTAAATTAAGTACAATTTCCATTTTTTTAATTTTAATTTTATGCAATAAAAATAGTTTATGAAAATTAATAAGAAATATGTTTCATATATGTTAATACATATGACCCATGGCTCATCCTAATATGTAAAAATAAAATTGTACTGCATAGATTTTAAATAATCATCAACCATCGTAGTTTAAATTTAATTATCAGTCCTTTTATGCAAATATTTTTGTTACATTTAAAAAAAATTTTCATGCAGTTTTATGCCAATCTTCTGTGGTATGTGATTTAATTTTTACATGAATTCATATTTTAAAGCTTTTGTTAATTAATAATGCATAGAGTAAATAAAGCACAATTTTTGTTTTATTTCAAAATAAAATTCTACTTAAAATTAATTTATTGCATAAAATGTTACATTTAACATTTTTAAAATACACAAAATATCAAAATGTTATAATATTACACCAACTGAGTGGTATAAAATATAATTTTATAGATTTAGGTCATCAGTCATTTTAGGCAATTTTTTTATACATTTTTTGCTTTGTTTTAACCCTCAGGGGTCGAAGACCGCGTATACACATTTTGAGGGATCTCAATAATGCCGAAAAGAACTTCAATTACAACCTCAGTTTTGATCATACAGATGAGATCAATACATCAATCGAATCTGTTAGGTGTTTATTTTTTTGTGTGTAGACTTACAATAACAACAAAAGTGTGTGCTTTAGCAAAATAAGGAAAAGACAGAGTAAGCATTCAGTCTTTTCTCTCTCCGCGAACTGTTTTTAGAAACGCGTCACTAAAATGCACTGAAACTTCAAGAAAACAACACACAGACATGAGACATACATAGAAAGCTTGAAGTGTCCACTTTTAAATGCAGCGAGTGCATGCTGAAAAGAAACATTGTTTGATAAAGTAATCAGTTTGAAACCAACACTATGTCTAGTTTCGAGTTCATTAATTTTGAATCCACGCTCATTGAATACATTAACACAAGAGAGAGAGACATATCTGCATAAAGCTTGGAAGGTGATCTTTCCAATTGACTTTGAAAAGAAATGTTGTCTCGCTAGGTAATCCATAGAATTCTCTCACGCATTCCGCCGGCTCTTCCTGTGTCTGCCATTATTACAAACAATGACGATAGCTGCCCACATGCCCACAAACAAACATAGCGTGCTAGAAAAGTAGTTTCATTTTTATTCCCAGGAATAAATTAAAATTATGACCCATTTAAGCTATTTTATGCCTACTATCTTTATGCCTATTTTTATTTTTTAATAAAAATAATAATGAAGTAAAATAAAAAGAATTTTATTTGTTATTTCATTAAATCATAATTTTAAGGATTTTTTAAATCATATTATAAACAATAATAAAGATGTTATTTATGCAGTTATATTATTTTATGCAATCATTTTAATTAATTTAAAGTACAATTAAAAATAAAAATCATGTAATGTTATGCCAGTCATTTTGAGTATTTATATTTGACAAATTTTAGAAGTAAACTGAGCACAATTTAATTGAAAATTTTATTGTTCACAATAAAGGATTTAATTTAAAGTTTTTTTATGAACCTCAAGTGTTTGAATATTTATTCAAAATTATGCTTTCTTCACTTTCTCCAATCGGTGAAGTTTGTTCCTCGCCACTGTCGCCACTGGCTTGCTTGGTTTGGGACTTGTGGAGCTGCGCATTGATGGATTTGCTCTTCAGTGTTTGGACTTTCAGCAGTGAAATTTAAACCACACTGAACTGAACTAAACTGAACTTCAACTCTGAAAACTGAACTGACACAGTTTCGATTTACAAAAACTTCTATGTTAAACTGCTTTGACACAATCTGCATAAAAGCTCTATAGAAATAAAGATGAACTGAATAGAATGCTTTTCGCAGTCTGTACAGCACTAATAATTCCCACAATGTTAGTGCAAAGCATGCTGGGATATCTCTCCCATCTCTTACCTGGGATAAAGTCCGACCCCGACGTCCTGTAGCTCTCCATCACTGATGCTGAAACAGTTACAGGTCACCTGCCAGAAAACAAGAAGAAAACCCATAAAACAAACACTCCTCTCCACTCATCATCAGCTCTCTGCTGTTCATTGACAATTAGATACATTTTTCTCCCATTGAGAAAGAAATGATGCAGACTGCCAAAAACATTTATGCAAATCTTAATGAAATCATACCAGACTTAATGATCAAATAAAAGCTAAATATATGAACAAATTATAATCCAAATTTGAAGTAAAAAAAAAAAGAGCTTTAAGTAAAAAAATTGTTTGGCCGCAGTACCAGACATCACCACCAGTTGACTTTCAGTTTCCATTGGCGAACATATAAAAGCGCACCCTATTTCTGTGTGTGTTTTAAGAAATATGAAGCATGTTTTTCTTCATACTTTTAGCAATAGTTGTAAATTAGATATAAAATTATGAAGTATGGGCAGTTTGGTGGTTTTTAATTTGAATTTAGCCTCAAAATAAATTGAATTGTAGTAAAGAAATACTTTACAAGTCTGATGAGCAGTGGTGGATTTCGGTATGGGCAATATGGGTGATCGCTCAGGGAGGCATCTTTCTTGGGGGTGGCACAGGGAGACGGTGATGGGGAAAAAAAACGAGTCCCAGTAAAAGCTTTGAGATAACATTTACTTTATGCAAATATATTGATTTAGAGTGTTAATGCTTGAGTGTTAAAGCTTAAGAGTGTTAAGCTTGTTACTCTGTATGTGCAACCGAAACAACGCTGGGAAAATCAAACTGACGCATGCACGCAGAAAATGATTCCCATACACAGCTCTGCTCCCAGTGTGAATCTTGGCTGTTTAAAAAAATATGCTGATAAAATATGTGCGTCTATGTGCTGTGAAACTGAAGTACCTGGTATAACTTTTATGCAGAGGTGTCAGCACGCAGCGAGTTTTGCAAGTCGACAAAACTAAAGTTTAAATGATGATGATCTTGTTTTGACTAAGCATGGCTATAAAGCAGAAAGGAGGAATAATGAGTTAGGGAGGTAAGACTTTCTCGGCCATGAGTCGGGTCAAAGACAACAGATAATTCCATAAAACTTATGTATTTTTTTGTATTCTATAGAATTGTCATTAATAATATTCATATTATTTGCATGAATTAATATTCATGCAAAAGATTTCTTAAGTGATCTTTGCATATCACTCCAGTTGTGTCTTTCTTTACATTGTTTATTACAAGAGTTCGCCCTTATTGATTATGTAGCTTTTTTGGCATGCTGTCCGGGAGAGAGGCTTGAACTCGAGAGATCCTCGAGCCCGGGGCTCCCTCCCATTGCAGGACGAGAGGGGAGTCCGAGTTCAGGTAGATATCGAGAACTCCCCTGCTTGATAATGTTGGAAGTAGATTAATGCTATGAAGTGTCTATGCTGTCAATTTAGATTAGTCAATTTACTTACGTTACATGTTTTTGGTCTGTGGGAGGAAACCGGAGAGCCCGGTAAAAACCCACGCAAGCATGAGGAGAACATGCAAACTCCACACCGAAACGCTGACCTGGACAGGAAGTGTCCAAGCCGGTGACATTCTTGCTGTGCGGCCGTGGTGCTAACCACTAGGCCTCCGTGCTGCCCTGACAAGGAAATGGGAGGAGTAGGGGAGGAAGGGGGATTCTTCAAGACGAAGATGGCTGAAGTAAGATACTCTGGTTATTTATAGTGGTTAAGGAGTCGTCTGATTGGTAAATCAGTGTTAGCTAATGTGGACCAGGTGCTATCAATCATAAGCACGTGCTCCTCTCGAAATTAGTTTATAAATAAACTTCACTTAGAGTAATAATTGTATTAATATTAATATTGGGTGGTATATTAGCCAGTACTGGGTTGCGGCTGGAAGGGCATTCGTATGGGGTGGTTCACCCAGGGTGCCATTTAAACTAGAACCGCCACTGCTGAAGAATATCTTTGTTGCAAATAAATAAATAGCTGTTGCTCAGTAATATATATATATATATATATATATATATATATATATATATATATATATATATATATATATATATATATATATATATATATCAAAAATCAGTAATCAGATATGGAGGCTAGAATATGTTTCAAATTATATATATATATATTGATTCCCTTACAGTATGTTTAGACTACAATAATATGGTTTAAAAATGGAACCGCAAATGGTCTCAAAGGTTGAAGGGTGACAAAAACAGCAGTAAAATATGTAGACCTTTCCCATAATATAAAGTTTGTTGTTACAGTTGAAGTCAGAATTATTAACCCTCCAAAATTTTTAGTGCACCCTGTATATTTTTACTCAATTTCTGTTAATGGAAAGATTTTAACACATTTCTAAACATAATAGTTTTAAAAACTCATTTCTAACTGATTTCTTTTATCTTTTCCATGATGACAGTGAATAATATTTTACTAGATATTTTTCAAAACACTTTATACAGCTTAAAGTGACATTTCAAGGCTTAACTAGGATAACAACTAACTAGAAAAGCTAGGATAATTAGGCAAAGCATTGTATAATGACGGTTTGTTCTGTAGACTACTGAAAAAATATTTGGCTTAAGGGGCTTATAATAATGACCTAAAAATGTTTTTTTTAAAAAAATAAAAAATACTTTTATTCTAGCCGAAATAAAACAAATAAGACTTTCTCCAAAAGAAAAAAATACTATAGGAAAATACTATAGTGAAGAATTCCTTGCTCTGTTAAATATCATTTGGGAAATATTTGAAAAAGAAAAGAAAAAAATACACAAGGGCGAATAATTTTGACTTCAACTCTATAAGATTAGAATTTAATAGCAACATAGTGAAGTAAACTTAAGCTTCCCACTATCAAAGCGGTGACTGTTAAGTGGTTAAAACCACATTATCTGACTTTTTTTTCATTTATTCGATCCACTAAAAACAATTTTAATGTCCTGCTCATACAGTTCCTTGTAGTTTGTATATATTAGAGCTCTAATAATCTGAAGAATTACACAATTATTTACAACTCTACTCCTCTCTTGGAAAAGCACATGTGTGTTTGTTTGGTCTGATTGGCTGGAGTGAGTCCATCTCCTGGAGAGACAGAACCAACACGTCCATATCGAGTCACAGCAGACCCCAAATATCAGAGGAGAGGATCCTAACAAGCCTGAGATAGGAGCTCTGCGGGATGGAAGAGTGGTCGGGGGACAGCAAATGCAACACATTCAAAAACAGGCAGTGTGAGTTTTGATGACACCACCAGAACGACAGGAGATGATTTCTGAGTCCCAGAAAAAATGTTAAAGCAGATTCGATTATTAAAACTAAGAAAACACATTAGCCAATTTATTCATAGGGTCATGCCAACAACACAGATACCAATTATGCCATATTCTGCCAAACTTCCTGTTCGCCATTTTGATTTGTTTCAAAATTTTCTTTTTTTAACTCCTTCTAGACCGTTGGTCCAATCTTTACCAAATTTGACTCGGATCATCTTCAGAACATGTAGACCAAAAGTTATCGCATTAATGTCGATGGACAAAACTGTTGTCATTTAGCATATGCGCAAACTTGATTTAATGCTGGCAGATGATATTACAGGCTAAATCACTGCCATGGTTTGATGAACTGAAACCAAACACAGGGCCCTATCATACACCCGGCGCAGTGTGGCGCAAGGAGTGACGCAGTAGTCTTTGGGTAGTTTAAGCTTGGTGCAAGAGTGGTTTTGAGGCGTTGCGCTACGCTGTTTAAATAGCAAATGGATTAGCGCTCATATGTGCGTCCATAGGCGTTCTGGTCTAAAAAGGAAGGCGTTCTGAGGCGGACTGCTGGCGCGTTGCTATTTTGAGAAACTATAATAGATTTTTCATTGGACCAAAACTAACCCGGTCTAAACTCCAGCGCAGAGTTGCGCCTCGCTTACGCACTGCTTGATACGCACAAGAGAGCAATAGGCAAATATCTTTACATATGAAAAAAATGTAAATATTAAGGATATATATAGTATATAATAAAAATAGATATAGAATATAAATATAAAGGATTAAAATATTGCAAAACATATTATTTTCTAGCCAACATAAATATGAAAAACCACTGCTTTTATGTCTTCTTCATCTCGGGAGGTTTTTTCAGTTCATTCATAACAATTTGCTTTTGTATAATATTATTATTATTAGCAGTATTATTTATTATATCCATATTTATATTTGTTTTATTAAAAACAAGCTTAGATTTGCCCACTTGTCAGGTTTTAGACCATATGGGGCATGGCATGTGTTTTAGGATATAACTCAGGTTTTTGAGCACAATTTGCTATTATTATTCATTTATTCGTTTGCTGGAAATTAGAACTGAATTTAGAAATAGTTTTGAAACGAATATTTGCGCTTAACAAACAAAAGTATTTATTTATAGACTAATTGATGTCTGTGCGTAAAGGTTTCCCTATCCAAGAGCGAAAGTGAAAGTGATCCATTATCTCTCATTCTCACGCAGTAGATGCTCTGTTTAACAGTTTTCTGTTAAAAAACTGTTAACTGTTTGCTTGTGAAATACTCATTTTTTCCACTTAGACTTACTTTGCTTCCTGTAAATAGCGAATGCGCTCTTGGCGCGATGCAGCTGACTCTTAAAGGGAATGGGAGATGAGACAATAATTGGTTTATTGTCAAAACACAACTATAACTCATTAAGCAAAATAAACTCAACCCTTTTAGATCATGCGCCGAAGCGCAAGGCAGATTTCCCGTCCTTAAATTAGCAAAAACGCGTCCTGACACGCCCTGAAAGCATTTGCGCCCTGCATTTTGCGCTTTGCGCATGGATCGTCAAAATAGAGCCCTTAATGTGCGTGATCTAGACCTGACTTTGACCAAACTACATCCGTTTGAGCCACCTTCTGGGTAAAATTGACAAACAATTAAATTCTATCAATAGGAATAGGAATCAATTCTATCAAAATTTATCAATTGATTTTTCAATAGTTTTGTCTATTGTCATGAGACTGGTCTTGCAGATTTGTTGTATCGTTGATATGTGAACCTT